ATAAAAAAAAAAAAAAAAAAAAAAAAATGTGGCATGAAAAAAATTGTGACAGAAATATATTATTATTGTACAGAAGACTGTATTGTTATTATTGTATTATTATTATACTTCTCAAAGTATAAAAAGGTCCCAATTTTACTTTGTTTTATTTTGAAAAGTTACCCTTCTGTTGTGCAGCACTTTGTTCACCAAAAAATAAAAGGAATTGTTGAATTTTCTTTATTACATTTTAAAAGTTCAATTGAATATCTTATGTGTTATGCCTTCATTTAATCATAATTTGTATTAAATCATAATTCCAGAAAAATTAAAACAGACAACACTTTTAAAAAAAATTTCATAAGGTCCTATTAATGTAAAATTTAATAAACCATTAAAACAGAATCCAAAAAAGTTATTACTGAAAACACAGAATTTGTGACAAATAAAATAAAATTAAAAAAATTCTTAAGGCCTTTGAAAAATATATTTTGGTTAAACTATTACTAAATTGCTGTTAAATTGTATAACTTTCATTATTTCAATTATTAGACATGCTTTTTGATTACTACAATTTAAATTAACCATTTAAGTAGAATCCACACACATAAGCAATCCAGAAAAATTTTAACAGAAAAAAACTATTTGATTTTTTTGTTTGTTTATTTGTTTTTTTGTTTTTTGTTTTTTAATAAATGATTTTCATAAGGAGGCCTTAAAATGTAATTAAAATGTAGTTAAACTTTTAATACATTCTTATATATATATATATATATTTTTTTTTTTTTTTTTTTATAATTTTTTATTTATAAATTATATATATATAATTTGTTTCCTAATTGTTTCATAATTAAACATGCTTTTTGATTACAAATTTTTTATTCCATAAAAATGGAATCCTGAAAAAATACAACAGAAAAAAATCTAATAAAAATGAAACATTTCATAGAACCAAAGCACAAATTGATGAAGCTGCACAATACATGCTGACTTACAGGTGAGGACAGCAGCTTGAGGATGTGGACTTCTTTCCCATCCTGGCTGGTGAAGTCCGTCCAGCATCCCAGAGACATTTCCTGCAGGACGATCCAATCATTGCTGTTTCCGGGAACATCCTTCAGCTCACAGATCTCACTGGAATCTAGAGAATAAAGAATAAAGCCAGTGAGTTATTGAAATCAGTTAATATGTTCTTCATCTGCATCCCTGGAGAATAATAATATCCTGCCAGCAGCTCATAAATCATCTCCAGAATAAAACATGTCCTTCCTTTGGAAGACACGTGTCAGGTGTCACTTCCTGAGCAGCAGAACTGAATCAGGCCCAATCAAGCTCATGTTAGCAGCAGACAGTACTGAAGCATCAGAGCCCTCTCCTGATCTCAGTTCAGCACTAATATAATGGGCTGTAAACCAGACACACAGTAGGATGCTGAAACACGGCTATTGTCTTGCTCTATTGAAGTCATGGCTTTCACCATTTGATAGAAGGATCCACCTAATGACTCCAGTAAATGATTCTTGTTGTACTCTGATGCTTAAAATATTGAGATAAAAGTGCAAGTAGATTTAAAGTAATAATCAGAAACGTTTCTTCAGCAGCAAATCAGCATATTAGAATGATTTCTGAAGGATCATGTGACACTGGAGTGATGATGCTGAAAATGCAGCTTTGATCACAGCAGTAAATTAGCTATTTTAAATTGTAATAATATTTCCCAATTTTTACTGTATTTTTTGATCAAATAACTGCAGCATTGGTGAGCAGAAGAGACTTCTTTCAAAAACATTTAAAAAATCTAACCAATCCCAAACATTTGAACAGTAGTGTATTATCTGTATCTAGTGCTCCAGGTAAACAAAACACTGCAGACACTTTCAGCTCGTTCACAAAGGACAGTCAGAGTGGGAGGAAATACAGGAAGCTACAACAACTGCAAGGACAACAGGAAATGCCATGTTTAGACGTCAAGCTGATGGTGACGGCAGTCCAGGCTTTGTCTTAGCTTGTCTTAGTCGAGGCTTATCAAGGATGTAAGAACAGTTTGAATGGAGAAATGCTGTAAATACACTGCATATTCTTAAAGGGTTAGTTCACCCAAAAATGAAAATTAGCCCATAAATTACTTACCCTCAAGTCATCCTAGGTGTATGACTTTCTTCTTTCAGACGAATCCAGTCGGAGTTATATAAAAAATTGTCTTTGATCTTTAAAGCTGTTTCATGGCACTCAGCGGGTGTTGCATGCTTCAGTCCAAAACAAGTTAAATAAAAAGCGCCCATCCATAAAAGAAAAAGAAAAATGTCTCACACAGCTCCGGGAGGTGAACAAAGGCATTCTGTAGCGAATGTGTTTTTGTAAGAAAAATATCCATATTCAAAAGGTAATAATCACTTTAATGTAGTTTGCGCTCACTGTTGTACACTGGAAGCAGGTCCAGGGGAATGACGTATGAGGTCAGCGCTGCGCATGCGCCAGTGAGTCTCGTGAAAACCAACGTTTGTTAACAGGAGCAAAGGAAGCAAAGTTTCCTTACTTTAGCAAAGGAAAACCAGTCTCCTCTTGGCTTATATCGAAATCCTCCGACTTTCTTCTTTACAAATCCTCATTTTGTACTTCTAATTAGTGACCGTTGTTTTGTTTTGATCTCTCCGCTGCGTTTCCGTGTGCGTCACTTCTGCGCATGCGCAAAGCCGACCTCCATACATCATCCGCCCGGAACTGCTTCCCTTTACAACAGTTAGTGCAAGCTACATTAAAGTGATTATTACCTTTTGAATATAGATATTTTTCTTACAAAAACGCATCGATTCGCTACAGAATGCCTTTGTTCACCCCCCGGAGCCGTGTGAGACTCTTTTTTTTTATGGATGGGTGCTTTTTACTTAACTTGTTTTGGACTGAAGCATGCAACAACCGCTGAGTGCCATGAAACAGCTTGAACGATCAAAGACAATGGTTAATATAACTCCGACTGGATTCGTCTGAAAGAAGAAAGTCATACACACCTTGGATGACTTGAGGGTGAATAAGTAATGGGCTAATTTTCATTTTTGAGTGAACTCATTAACTTTAATGAGCATCTTTGTCTTGATTTCCAGTAAAAATATCTAAACATACTTAAAACAAACACATTAACCTGCTAACTGCACACGATTGATTTGACGTAGAATGTATTTGTATATATGTATATTTGGTGCCATTGCTGCTTGTTTTATGACTTATCGTCTGATTACCATCCTTCTGTTTCCGTATGCTTGGAAAGACACCCAAAAATGAAAAATGTGTCACCATTTACTCACCCTCATGTAGTTCCAAACCTGTATGAATTTCTTTCTTCTGTCGAACACAAAAGATGTTCTGAAGAATATTGGTAACCAAAGAGCAGACTGTAGCCATTGACTCCCATAGTATTTTTATCCATACTATGGAAGTCAATGGCTGCCGTCAACTGATTGCTTATCATTCTTCATCAAAATATCTTCTTTTGTGCTCAACACAAGAAAGAAACTCATACAAGTTTGGAAATGTAAATGATGACAGAACTACATTTTTGAGTGAACTATCCCTTTAATTTATGCCATATAAAACCATATACTTATCAAAGAATACTAGCAGAGAAATCCATCCACATCGAACTGCTAATGAAACACACCCATTTCTCTTCATACATCCTCATTATATTGTTCTGATGAAATGTCAGAGAGACCGCCAGCGCTGACGTTCATAATGATGAGCAGCAGATGAATTATTCCTCCCAGCAGCCTTACATACATTAGTCAGACTCATGGGACGTAAACGCTGACCCGCAGAGATGACCCGGAAATGCCAAAGCTTTCACTAAGCGCTTCTGTGTTAAATGAGCTATAAGCCACAGCTTTATCTCGTTTCATCTATGGCTCTTTCCCATGCAACCAAATGTTTAAGTCTGCGGACATCCAATCGGGCCAAATACTCTGAGCCAAGACACAAATAGTGCCCCGCCATCCATCACAGCGCTTTCACGGCAGCTCGTTTGTTATTTTCCCTGCCCTTGTATGTGCAAGAGAGAGGCTTCATTTTACATTTTGACCCTCGGGCCTTCATCTGAAGCAACAAACACAAGCGTGTGTCTCAGCCGACTGGGCGAATATCAGTGTGGCTCGCAGAGGAATCGCTTCAGCAGTAAGGCACCAACAGATGAGTTTCATTTCCAGCATTATAAGCGGTGAGAAGGTCATGCTGTGCTCAAACACGCTCGTGGGTTTCAATTTTGGGGAAAATGCTTCAAATCAATTGAAGTATCTGTCATGACGCTTGTCCAGACATCAGTGAAGAGCACCATCCTACTGAGAACCCACAATCATTTATTTCCTCAAGTCAGGTGAAGATGGGAAATTGCTGGCCACAGGATACAATGCCGGTACTGGGCCATATGGACAAAAATAATAGCACAGTATGTTTTCTGTATCATAAAATATCATTATTTATCACAGTATTCATTTCTTACTGTTAATAGGAAAGGAAATGTATTGCACATGTTTGTTAGATCTTGTTAGAGAATTAATGTAAACATAACTTGAATAATCTCCACAGAATAAGCATCACTGAATCACTATTTCCTTGTTTATCACTGTAAAGCTACTTTGAAACGATCATCAAAAAGGGTGTCTAATGAAATGAATTCATAAAACTTTTTAATCAATCTTTAAAATGTAATCAAAATAAAACAATTATTTAGCATTTTTACTTTCTGTTAAATAAGATGTTGCACAACAGAACTTAAATGATAATGGTATAAATTAAAACATCGATAGAAATATATTGGTTGTATGGTATTCCTTAAAATAATAATAATAGATGTAATATTTTATATAATAAATTGTATTATCATAATAATAATAATAATAATTATTATTATTATTATTATAAGTAATATATTTCTGACACAATTTTAAGTTGAACTGAACTTTTATTTTGGTGGGTTGTAGTGAAGAACTTAGAATTTCTGTTAATCTTTAGATAGTTTTTAGGGACATACAACTGATCATCTAGATGAAGCCTAAATATCGAAAATTAGGGATGCACCGATACCGATACTGGTATCGATATTAGGCCCAAAACTGCACTCCTGTAGGCCTACTTGTACTCATTAAAATGCTCCGATACCAAAAGCTGATACCACACAGCGTGTGAATAGTGCTGTGTCCAGACAAAGATACACCGACAACTAGGGTTGGGTATCGTTAGAAATCGGTTCCAGTTTTGCCTAACGATTCCGGTTCCATTTAAATGAACTATTAAATGTTCCATTTTAATTTACTATTTTACCTTAATTTAATGTAGAGTTGCTGGAAGGTAGTAAGTAATGTTGAGCAATGCATGTGCTTCAAAGTTGATGTTTTTTACACTATCAATAACATTTTGCTTTTCAAGCAGGAATAAGCTGGTTGGCCAAATAGTCCCTTGAGGGCTAAGACACTTGTTCATTTCCCTAAATTAATGAAATATTATACTTATAACCATGTATACACACACTGCATAAAGCCCCTATTTTACAAATAATAATGCAGTCTGGAGATGGTGTGATGCAATGAGTGGTTTCCACATACTTGGTCACATGTCGCACCAGAACCGTTTTCGGAACCGAAACTTAGAAATGGCTCACAGTTCCGGTTCTTTTCAAAAAACAGAACTGGTTCTGAATAAGAACCGGTTATCGGTTCCCAACCCTACCAACAACAGAACAAAAAGAGCAAAATGGAAGTATTAGAGATTAAGGATCTCTTTATTTATTACGAGTGATTCCCTTTCCCTGCATTATTACAGGAAAATTAAAGATGAAATACTATAGAGTAATAAAATGAACAGTGAGTGTAATTAAACCTTGTACAGTATATTTTAATGAGCATAATTAAGTGTGAAAATAACCGAAGGAAATATCTGTTTGCTAAATGAAGCCAGCTAACATGATTCATAATTTTTAAATTCAATGAAAGTACAGGTATCAGTATCGGCAAGTACCAAAACTAGAAGTATCGGTATTGGACTAGTTCAGGAAAAAGTGGTATCAGTACATCCCTATCGAAAAATACTCAAAGGTTTATCATCAATATTGTGAACTTATATATTTTTTTTTATCACTATTAATTTATCACCCTA